CATGTCCTGTGCTGCTGTCTAGCTCGTCAAGTCTGACTCTGCATTCCCCCCAACAGGAGCCCCAGCTCTCACTGGGTGGTCAGCGCTGCGTAGGAGAGCCAGACGAGGAACTGGCTGGTGCCTTCCCTCTCTTCATCCGGAATGCTATTCGGGGTCAGAAACAGCCCAACAGGACCACAGCAGATTCCCGTTGTAGCACAGATGTGGTGAGTATACCTGGCCTCCTTGGTGGAACAAGGCAGACAGCTCCCTAGCCCATTCTCCTGATTCACTCATTTCTTCCTTCTGCCCTAGGTAAGAATAGGCTTTGATGGGCTTGGAGGACGAACAAAGTTCATCCAGCCTGTATCCTTTTCTGTGGCCATGGCCTGAGCTGAGATGTGCCCTGACTGTGTCGCCAGGCTCCTCACTGCCGGCGCTCACCCTAAGGTGAGCAGTGCTGCACCTTGTTCAGTATTTTGTGCTTCCTGACCCAGGGTCTGAGGTTTTCCTGCCCTGCATTCCAGTTCCCTCGCCAAGCCTCTTCCTTGACATTGCTTTCAGACAGACACAGCCATTATCCGACCAATGCCTGTTAAGCCCAAGGCCAAGAGTAAGCAGAAAGTGAGAATAAAGACTGTGAATTCTTCCTCCCAGCCCAAGATGGATACCTTCCTATTGCAGTGAGCAATGACAGAGTCATGTCTCCAATTACTAGGCCGAGACCTTTGCCAACCCAGGAGTGTTTTGGGAGATGGCTCCTCTTCCTGGACAGTGCAAGCGTGAGAGCAGAAACTGCACTTCCTGTGTTCTCCTTGCCCTGCACCACACTGGATTTACCTCAGGGAGTTGACGACCAGTTTAAAGTTCTGGTCAGCAGGGCCTGCTTCTAGTTGCAGGTTTTTGCATAGAGCTACAACCAGATATGGCTAGGCTCCTGTTTTTATAGATCAGGGTCACATTTGACTCTACGTGGATGAACATGCTGGATTCCTAAGCAGACTAGCCTGAACTTGTGCCTGCCTCCAGCTCACTGTTTGAAATAGTGGATGGTAGGGAAATGATGGGGAAGATTTCCATGGAAAATAAAAAGGCATCTTTTCTTCCTGGCTCTGGACGTACAAATTTGTACCAAAACTTTCTAAAGCAGGAGTGCCACCTAGACTTTGACTCAGTAGTTTTCTCTCCAGACATGGTTTCTCTTGAGGCACAGGAAGACCCCAGCAAAAATGGTGTCCCTGCAGGCTAAGCGATAAGCCAAGTGAGTACTGAAGCGTTCTCATCCATGCAGGGAACCCAGCAAGCACAACAAACAGCCAGTGACCATGCTGTTAGTTTTTAGGTCTTGGCTTCAGGGCACTTTCTCCTAGAGAATTTCCCTTTCTGGCCGCTCACCTGGGTAAGACTTCCTAAACTTCTTTCTCCCATTGTTAGACAGGAGTTCTCCTGTTTCCCTAGCACATCACCTGCTTCCTGCTGAAGGCACCCAGCCACTTGCTAGGAAACCTAGAGGAGCCTGGAGCTGTTGCTGATGGAGATGATAGCCTTGGTCATGTGATGCTTAGCTTTGTTTGTTAACTGGACAAGATCTAGAATCACTTGGTGAGGGCCTCTCAGTGAGGTCATCTAGATGAGATCGGCCTGTGGGTGTGTCTGTGGAGGGTTATCTTGGTTATGTTTTACTGGGGTGGGAAGACAAGTCTACTGGAAGTTGGCACCATTTCCTGAAAGTGCCTGATAGTGGTGGTGCAGCCTTTAATCCTAGCACTGGGGAGGCAGAGGCAGGCGGATCTCTGTGGTTCGAGGTCTACAGAGTGAGTTCCAGCACATCAAGAAACTCTGTCTTGAAAAACCATAAATAAATAAATAAAGCCGAGAAAATGAGCTGCGCACAAGGATGGATGTGCTCTCTCTGAGCGCATCTGAGTGTGAGCAGCTGCTCTGCCTTTGGCTCCCTTGCAATGATGGACTGTAACCAGAAACTGTAAGCTGAAATAAAAACCTTCTCCCCTCAGTTGCTTTCGTTGGTATTTTATCACAGTGACAGAAAAGTAACTCAGTTATAGATTGAGCCCATTTAGGATGACATGAGCTAAAGAGGTGTGGTGAGGAGAATTGTACCATCTGGTGATAAACATAGAGGCTGGCTGCTGGCACATGCCCAGTGGTCTCAGGCTAATTATTCTCTCGGTGTTATCTATATAGTGGGGGCAATAGCACCAGCCACCCAGTGGTGGGAATCTAGTAAGTCAGGCTATAGGTTAAGAACTCAAGTTATGCTGGGGGGCTGGGGGGCTGGTAGAGGGACAAGGGAGGAGGGGTGGGAGAGGAAGCTGGGACTGACATGTGAAACATTCATGTTTCTAATTTAAATAAAAACATATTGAGGGCCGGGCGGTGGTGGCGCACGCCTTTAATCCCAGCACTCGGGAGGCAGAGGCAGGCGGATCTCTGTGAGTTCGAGGCCAGGCTGGACTGACAGCCTCCAAAACAATACAGAGAAACCCTGTCTCATAAAAACCAAAAAAAAAAAAAAAAAAATTGAGGGAAACAAGGAAGAAAAAAAAGAACTCAAGATATGTAAATGAATAAGTGGAACTCTGGTTCTACTTACAGCAAGTGTCTAGAATAAGTAAACTTACAGAGACAAGTATGATAGTGGGAGCGGGAGCTACTGCGCTGACAGTCTCTGTCTTGGGTGATAAAAGGGCTTTAGAAAGCTGGGTGGTGGCCTTGTCAGCACCTCCTTTAGTCCCAGCACTAGGGAGGCAGAGGCAGGCTGATCTCTGAGTTCAAGGCCAGCCTAGTCTACAGAGTGAGTTCGAGGACAGCCAGAGCCACACAGAAACCCTATCTCAAAAAAAAAAAAAAAAAAACAAACTGGTTGGGGTCAGGGCTATAGCACAGAACAGAACCCTTGTGCAGATGGCAGGCCCCGGGTTCAAGCTCCAGCATCGAGCCATGAATGGCAGTGCACACTTGTGCTCACATTACTTCAGAGATGGAAGTTCTTGTCAATTACATAATGAGTTCCAGGTCAGCCTGGATTGCATGAGACTCTGTCCCCAAAACAAAAACAAGCAACAACAAAAATCAAGAAAAAAATAGGACCAGGTGTGCAGCTCAGTTGGTAGAATGGTTGCCTTGCCCAGCAGTGTGTGATCTGAGTGTGTCTGTGCATGCCTGTCACTGCAGCCCTTAGGAGAGGTAAAGGCAGGCTTAGAAACACAAGGTCATCCTTGACGATAGCAAACTGAAGCCAGCCTGGACTATATGAAACCTGTGCTCAAAAATAAAAGGGGGTGCTGGAGAGATGGCTCAATGCTTAAGAGCACTGGCTGCTCTTCCAGAGGACCCGGGTTCAATTCCCACAACCCACATGGCAGCTCACAGCTATCTGCATCTCCAGTTCCAAGGGATCCAACACCCTTTTATGGTTTCCAGAGGCACAAAGTATATATGTGGTACACATACATGCAGGCAAAACAATCATGCACATAAAGTTAAACAACAATAGGGCCTAGTGAGATGGTTTAGTGAGTTACTTGTTGCCAAGCCTGATGACCTGAGTTCAATCCCAAGTACCCAAGTGGTAGGAGGAACAAACTGAAATCACAAGTTGTCCTCTGACCTCCACTTGCTTTCTGTAACCATAAAAACAAAAAAGCAACAAAAACCACAAGGCTGGAAGTGGTGACTCACACCTTTAATCCCAGCACTCAGGAGACAGATACAGGCAGATCTCTGGTCTACACAGTAAGCTCCAGGTCAGAGCCAGAGCTGCACAGAGAGACTGTTCCAAAAAAGAAAAAAGTCAACATCACAATAAAATACTAGCAAGTCTGTTGTGGTGATAGCTAACCACTTTCCTGTTAGAACTGAAGCTCACTCCACAGAAGGGAATTCATGTCTAATACAATAAACCTGGTCAAAAGTCAGTGGATGAGTAGGTCATAGGCCCTCATGGGTGAGCAGCAGATGTTATTTTGCAAAATATGTATGCTGCATCCATCTCATTGCTTTCCAATAGTTATGCTAATGACCATAGATCAGGGCTAATGTCAGCTTTTGTCAGTGAAGCTTTTTTGTCAGTACTTTATCAGCATGTATACCTTCATACCGGAAGGAGATATCAGATATCATTATCGATGACTGAGCCACCATGTGGGTACTGGAAATTGAACTCAGTATCTTTGGAAGAGCAGCCCCTGCTCTTAACAGCTGAGCCATCTCTCGGCCACAGAGAAGCTTCTTTTTTAGTGGGCAGTGGTAACTGCAGAGATTCCTACCTGGTCAAAGTGTAAGTGACTGTCAAACATTCAGCCCAAACAGAGACATCCATATCAGCCCTATCCAAGGCTCAGGAAACAACCTAGGAAACAGGATGTAATGCTGGAGGATGGAGTCTGCAGCACTGTCTCCCAGCCGTGACACGGCTGCTGTCTCTTGAACTCATAATACCTGTGACCTGCTCAACATCTGTACATTTGGGACTGGGAGCATTCTGTCATGGAGTGGGCAAGGATTCATGACCCTGCCCCTTCCAGGAGGGGGCGACAGTTTAGTTCTGTAGCCACTGGTAAGGTGCCCAAATAACCTCTCGCCCACCCTCCTATAAGCGATTCTATGAAACTCACCAAGTCACAAAAACAAAGGACATGAAAGTTAAAGGGGGAGGGTAGCATGGGAGGCTAATGGACTGACTATGATCAAAATACTTTATACACATTTATGAAGCACAGTTATGTGTAATTAATACAAACAGTACACAGCAATTCCCTGTGTTATTTTCACAAGTTATTGTGAGCCTGCAACTATTTCAAAACAAAAGTTTGAAAAGTTTGTCTTCGTTTTGTTGCTGCCCTGTGCTCCCCACTCTCTGATCTGACTCAGAGATTCACTGGCCTCTTGTAATACTGGGCCTTATCCTGGCGATAAACCCCAACTGACCTATAGAGGGCTGGCATCTGAAGCCAACTCAGAGTCTAGTTTCACTTTTGTTTTCCTGAAATTACAGAGGAGCCAGGGAGGGAACTTTGACAAGCAGCAGCTGGCGCTTTGGTTCCTGTTTGCATCAGCTACAAACTCTGTTGTGCCACCTCCCCTTCGCCTCCCCCAAAGCTGTGAGCATCTCTGTCTCCTTCTCCAGCCCCAGGACTGAGGATGGACGGGGAGCGATACTCCAGGCAGCTGTGAGTCTCAAGGTGGGATGCAAAGTCGGGTGGCCTCCAGACCTCTGGTCTCCAGCTGCCTGCCCTCCGACTTCTTGACCACAGGTATGTTCTGGGCCTGCCTGCCATGCAGAGGATCCAGGGAGCCAGTGTCTTGCTATCTGGTCTGCGGGGCCTAGGAGCTGAGGTGGCCAAGAACCTGGTCCTTATGGGTGTGGGCAGCCTCACCCTACACGACCCCCATCCCACCTGCTGGGCTGACCTGGCTGCTCAGGTGAGTTCTTAGGGTCTCTATGCTCCCTCCCAGAGCAGGGCTGAAGAGGGGTCTCTTTGATCAAGCTACTGTTCTGTCCCTTAGTTTTTCCTCTCGGAGGAGAGCTTGGGAAGGAGCAGGGCTGAGGCCTCTCAAGCACCATTGGCTCAGCTCAATGAAGCTGTCCAGATCTCTGTCCATACAGGTGACATCACTGAGGACCTGCTACTGGATTTCCAGGTACTACCCCAGACCCATTTGCATGCCAGCCTAGAACCTCCCTCCTGCCTTAACAGCAAAGATGGCAAGTGATTCTGATGTCCATGTAGGTGGTGGTGTTGACTGACTCCAAGCTGGAGGAGCAGCTGAAGGTGGGAACTTTCTGCCATAAGCATGGAGTCTATTTTCTGGTGGCTGAAACTCGGGGCCTTGTGGGGTGAGGAGACTACCTGTATACCTCACTACATCTCTGCCAGCAATTGACCCCAAAGTTTTCCCAGATTTTTTTTTAAGATTTACTTATTTGTAAACAGCATTCTGTCTTCATATATGCCTGCAGGCCAGAAGAGGGAGTCAGATCTCATTACAGATGATTGTGAGCCACCATGTGGGTACTGGGAATTGAACCCAGGACCTCTGAAAGAGCAGTCACTGCTCTTAACCACTGAGCCATCTCTCCATGCCCAGTTTTTCCCTGTTCTAAGCTTGCTGTTGTAACTTAAGAAAAGCGGTGTGCAAGAAAGAGAAAGACGCCATGTGACGCCACTCAACAGGGTTCAAGCAGAGGAGTTTTTTTTTTTTTTTAAGGAAAGGGATCATAAAAAGGGGAAAGGAAAGGGAGTAGACTGGCCTCCAGAGACAGGAGTAGCAGGAGAGAGCAGAGAGGAAAGGGGGAGAGAGAGGAAAGAGGGGGAGAGAGAAAGGGAGAGGGGAACAGACAGAGAGAGGAAGAGAAAGAAAAAGGATGGGAGGTGGGCAGGACCCTTATAAAAGGGAACAGAGTGAATGTGCACAGGCGGTGCTCTTAGTGGCTGCAGCTAAGGGCGTATCCTGTCAGAACCCCAAGGACAGGCCAGTACAGATGCCTGAACACTAACACTTGTTCCTATCACCCTCCACCCTGCCTCAAGGCTAGCAAAGGATCATCTTAATTCCATGCTTGTTTCTGTACCTCAGGGTCCAGACCTGTTCTAGTACAACTTATGCGCCCAAATCTTAATTTTCTGGAATTCCTTTCCCTCTGGGCCTGTCCTAGTGTCCCCTACCATTACTCACAACTGGTGAGCTTCCCCAGTAACTTCTGCCAACCACACTAGGCGGGTGTTCTGTGACTTTGGTGAGGACTTCACTGTGGCAGACCCTACAGAGGTAGAACCCATGACAGCTGCCATCCAGGACATCTCCCAGGTGGGTGCTGAGATGTATCGATCTACCTGATATCCAAGAAAGGTGCCAGGCCTGCGGAAAGCAGGTATAGGTACTCTGAAGTCAAACCATCTCTCACTCAGGGATTGCCCGGCATTGTCACTCTGAGACGAGACACCAAAAGACACTCCTTCTGTGATGGGGACTTGGTGATTTTCTCAGGCATTGAAGGCATGGTTGAGCTCAACAATTGTTCTCCTCAGCCTGTCCGTGTGCAGAGTAAGTCAATCTTACTCCAACCCCTGACTCAGTGCTATGCAGAAACTACTTATTTTTAGGAGTCATGGCTTACTAGGCTGGATATCTTCCAGAAGATGGGTCTTTGGAGATTGGAGACACAAGAGCTTTCTCCCGTTACTTGCGAGGTGGGGTTGTTACTGAAGTCAAGAGACCCAAGACTATGAGGCATGTGAGTGCAAGTCAAGCTGGGGTGGGAGCACCTGGTCACATCAAGGGTGCACAGTGTCCCAGACCTCATCCTGAGTCAGACAACTCTGACCCCACAGAAGTCCCTGGACACAGCTCTGAATCAGCCCCGTGTGGTGGTCCAGAGCACTCAGGAAGCACAACGTGCTCACTGCCTACATCAGGCCTTCCGTGCACTGCACAAGTTCCAGCAACTTCATGGACGGCTACCCAAGCCCTGGGATCCTGTGAGCGCCCCCACACTGTACAATGCACAGCCTCTGTCTTACTGGATCTCTCACCTTTCAAACTCCACTTCAATGACCATTTACAGATCCAAGTTTGAACCCTAGAGGCAGATTCTATACTCAACAGCAGGACATGAATACCACTATTGTACACTAAGATTGTGTTCACAGATGTACTTACGAGGCCTACAATCTGCTTGCTCCATCCCTAAGCCATGAGAGGCAGGTTGGAAGCTCTGCAACAATGCCAGGCTTTCTCTCTTAGGACCCTGCTGCCTCAACGGAATAGAGTAGATGGGTGCCTGAAGGCTTTGGGGGGAGGTTAGGATTCAGACGGGCTACCAGGCCCACATATGCTATGCCTCAGTGTCATCCCACAGGTTGATGCAGAGACGGTGGTGCACCTGGCCCAGGACCTGGAGCCACTAAAAGGGACAAAAGAAGAGTTGTTGGATGAGGCTCTACTTCGGAAACTTGTCCTGAGTAGTGCTGGTAGCTTAAGCCCCATGGCAGCCATTCTGGGAGGAGTGGCTGCCCAGGAAGTCCTGAAGGTAGACACAGGCGGGGAAAAGAAGGAACTGGGAAAGTGGGCAGGTCAATGTGTGTGCCAGAGGCACCCATACCAAGCAGCAGCCTTGGAGCATTCTATCAGCCCAGGTGCGGCCCTCGGATGGGACCTAAGGGGGTTAAGAATTAGACGTTGGCAGAAACCCCCATAGTGAAATGCCCATCCCCAGGCAATCTCCGGGAAGTTCATGCCCCTGGACCAGTGGCTGTACTTTGATGCCCTTGAATGTCTTCCGGAAGATGAGGAGCTCCTTCCCAATCCTGAGGACTGTCATCCGGTGAGAACTGGCAGTGAAAGCCTTGTTCAAAAATAAGGGTTAGAGGAGAAACCTGAGAAACAATGCTCCTGGGGTCCAGATTTAACAGCTCAGTGAATGACACACAGCACAGGCATCAGCTGTCTCTGACCATCACGTACTCCCTAGAGAAACTGCCGATATGATGGGCAAACTGCTGTGTTTGGGACTGGCCTTCAGGAGAAACTGAGCTGCCAACACTACCTCTTGGTGAGCTGAGGGATGATGGCGGGGATGTTGCAGGGAAATCCAGGCCAAGTGCCCTGGATAAGATTGCTCCTGCCAGCAGGTGGGTGCTGGTGCCATTGGCTGTGAAATGCTCAAAAGTTTTGCCCTCATGGGTCTGGGAGTCAAGGCTAATGGAGGCGTGACTGTTGCTGACATGGACCACATAGAACGCTCCAACCTCAGTAGGCAGTTCCTCTTCAGGGCCCAGGACATTGGGGTGAGTACTGGTTCCTCTTACATCCTTGCTTCTCAGGCCGCTTTCTCATGATGTACCCATTTCCTTTCTTCCCAGAAGCCCAAGGCAGAGGTGGCTGCAACAGCAGCCCAGTGTCTAAACCCAGACCTACAAGTGACCTCCTATACCTACCCGCTGGATCCCACCACAGAGCACATCTTTGGTGACGACTTCTTCTCCAGGGTGGATGGTGTTGTTGCTGCTTTGGACAGCTTCGAGGCCCGTGAGTGCCTACCTTAGAGCTGAGCCCCTTGCCCACGGCCCTGGCAGCCTCACCCCGCACCCTGTGCCCTTTCGTCAGGACACTATGTCGCTGCTCGATGCACCCACTATCTGAAACCACTGCTGGAGGCAGGCACACAGGGAACCCGCGGGAGCGCTTCAGTGTTTGTGCCCTATGTGACTGACGTCTACAAAGGCCCCATGTCAGCTGCAGATCCTGAGGGGGCTCCCCACCCTCTGTGTACTCTGAGGTACTTCCCCAGCACAGTCGAGCACATCCTGCAGGTACATATATCCCTCCCAACCCATCTCAATCCCCAAATGGCACATCTGTTCTTCGTCTAATACCTCATCCTCCCCCCCAACAGTGGGTCCGAGATGAATTTGAGGGACTCTTCAGCCGATCTGCAGAGACCATCAACTGTTACCGAGAGTAAGGACAAAAATGGAGGAAGGTAGGAGTCCAGGACTCCAGGCACAGAGTTCAGCCTCAAACCTCCTCCTCTTTCTCCAGGACACGTACTTCCCTGTCGGGCATGGATAGGACGCAAACATCAATCTTACTGCAGCAAGTGATGGGTGTCCTAAAAATGCGCCCACAAACCTGGCAAGACTGTGTGGTGTGGGCTCTAGGCCACTGGCAGCTATGCTTCCATGATGGCATTGTAGACCTGCTGAGACACTTCCCATCTGATAAAGTAGGTGGTCGGCGGTGGGGCAGATGCTGGCTCTAGGGGATCAGACTGAGCCCAGCAGCCTCTATTTCCTTAGGTACTTGAGGATGGAACTCTGTTCTGGTCAGGATCCAAAAGGTGTCCACAGCCCTTGCAATTTGACCCCAACCAAGTGAGTGGAGTCCTTAGACATGTGTCCTCTTAGAGAGTAGAGGTCACCACTTTTGCGTTTTGCTAAGATGCACAGATGCTAAGAGAGCCACGCTTGTGCAAATGTGGGAGCTGTACTTGACAGTCGGGCATTCAGACATACTCACCAAAGGGCAATGAACCCCATCCCCTGTACCCATGAATCTGTTCCTGCTCTCTGCCTGGCTTCAGGACATGCATTTCCTCTACGTGCTGTCAGCTGCCAACCTGTATGCACAAATGCATGGGCTGCCTGGCTCGAGAGACCAGACTGCACTCAAGGAACTGCTGCAGCTGCTGCCAGAGCCTGCTTCCATGCACTGGAACCTCAGCTCTGATGGTGCTTTTAGTGCTGCTGAGTTTGGTGAGTTCCAGTCTTACACAGTCATTCTAGGCTTGTTCCCATCTTCAGCCTGTACTCAAAAGGCAGATGGGGCTTGAAAGCCCTACAGCTAATTTGCTTCCTCTCTCTGGCCTTCTTTGGGTTTGTTGTTGTTCATTTAAGTTTTATTTTATATGTATGAGTATTTTACCAACATGTATGCCTATGCATCACATGTGTGCCTGGTGCCCACAGACACCAGAAAGGTGCGTTGATGCCTTGGAACTGGAGTTAGAGACAGTTGTGAGCTGCCATGTAAGTGCTGGGAATTGAACTGGCATCCTTTACAAGAACTGCTTGTAAAGGATGAGCCATCTCTTCAGCCCCTTCCGGGTCTCTCACTTTGCTGCTTAGTTTATCTCTATCCTTTAGCCCCTTAGTGGGTCCTCTCTCTGCTGCCTGAAACATATCTCAGTTCTCTTGAGAGACTTTCAGAATTTAGAATGTTCTGCAGAGCGCCTAGCTATGATCCCCAGGTGAGGACAGAGCCACAGAGGTAACCGCAGGTGGTAAGGAGCGGGCTGCCAGGAAGTAGGCTGCAGCATCAACCAGGAACGCCTTGATTTGATCAAGTGGCAGCGAGTGGCAGGTTAGGCAGAGATCAAGGATGAACACAGGCTCTAAAGTACAGGAGATGAACTAAGGACTGCTCCCATTCCCTTTCCCCTGACAGGCCCGGAGCAGCTGAAGGAACTGCAGGAACTTCTGGGAGACTGGAGCAAAGGCCCTCCGCTGAAGCCTGTGTTGTTTGGGAAGGTGGGCCCCTAAGTGGGAATGATGACCTGGGCTGGGAGAAGGTAAGGGATTTGGGGTAGCTGGAGAACCCGAGTTTCCTTCCTCCAAGGCCGTGGAGGCAGCTCGTTCCCCCTGCACCTCCTTTGCCCTGTGTGGTAGAGGAGGGAGATGGTGGGTGCTCAACCACAAAGCTGTACAGAGACCAGCCAATGGCATCCGGCTGCCCATGGGGAGGGGTGCCACCGTAGTGCTAACACGACCGTGACTTGGGCCTGGCAGGATGATGACAGCACCTTCCATGTGGACTTTGTGGTAGCAGCGGCTGACCTTAGAGCTCAGAACTAAGGGATCTTACCAGTCAACCACGCTCAGGTAACTCTTTGGGGCTCAGACCTGGAGGTGAAAGCCAAATCTCAGCCCTAAGCCTTGAGCCTAGACCAGATGCCCTGTCCTTGACAGATCAAGCAAATTGTGGGCCAGATCATCCCAGCCATCGCCACCAGTACAGCGGTTGTGGCAGGCTTATTGGGCCTGGAGCTGTATAAGGTGGTTAGTGGGCCACAGCCCCTTGGTACCTTTCGTCAAAGCTATCTGCACCTGGCTGAAAACTACTTCATGCGATCAGTGCCTGCTGCCCCAGCCCTCCAATTGGTGAGCCTTTGATAGCCTACCCTTGTTCCCGTTAGACCTGGGTTTCCCTTTACCCAGCCAAGCTAACAGTCTTCTCTCTGACTGTTGGTTCTCGCTAGGCCCCAGACTATGGGGGAATCCTCTAGACTCTCTCCAGCTCCCCTCCTGCTATGAAGCCAGGCTGGGACCTGTCAGAAACAGGAAACAGCCATCAGCCATAGCCCCCAACCCCCCTGCAGTCCAGGGTCTGGGGGAGCTGCAGCTTTAACTCATTAGTGGGGCCAGACACCCCCCACAGCCCCTCCTTCTCAATAATATCCTGGTGGGAGGGAGTAGGGAGGAGTGACCATAGACTCAGCCCCAGAGAGGAGTCTAACCCCCTCTACGGAGTCCTTTTCCGTACACCTCAAGCCAAGTTAAAGGGCACCAGGCTTGCTACCATGAGTGTGGGTCTCAGCCCTATAGGCGTGTGTGTTTCTGCTACAGATACGAGTACAGCAAGGTCTGGGCAACCCTGGTGTGTGAACATGGAGGGATCAAGTTTACACATCTGTGTGCCAGATGGGACAGCAAGGATCTTCCTCAGTGTGAACATTCATGGGTGTGCGTGTGGACACATGTGAGGGTGTTGTTGGTTTTGTTTGTGTGGGTGTTCCTATGAAGGCAGGATAGCAACGCTTCCAATTGTGCGCCCAGGCTCTGCCCCAGCTGGCATTTCCCCGAGGAACAGGAAAGGAGGTAGAAGGAAGCCCTCACCAGGGAAAGGACAGAGGTCACTAGCTAGCCTAGGGTCCCTCTGGACAAGCACACAGAGTGCTTTTGTGAGGTGCCCCACTGTTAACCAGCACAGAGACTGCCTTTGTCCATGGAATGGGGGTGGGTAGGAGCCCATCTCGCCTCTAGCCTAGTCTCAGCTTGACCCCGTATGTTTTGTGAGGGTAGGAAGGGACCCTTTGCCCTGGGCTCTGGATGTCTGCTCCATCTCTCCTCAGCTATAGATGCCAGGACTCTTCAACTGGGAAAAAGATATCTCTGGGTCGGTAGGGTTACGCTGTCACTGTGTCTTTGGTTTTCGCATGCCCATGAGCAGTCAAAGCCCTGTATGTAAGGACTGGGGAGTAGCATGAGCTGTGTCCTCCAGCTCCCAGCCTCCGCTTTGAGGAGCAAGCAGCTTTATCGGAGACTGCAGCAGACCAGCTCCAGTTTCCTCAGGAAGCCCCCCCCAACTGGCCTGTGTGATGGGTGTCTGTTTCCCTGTCCAGGGCCCCATAGCTCCATTTCCTGTGCTGGCCCCAGCCTGGGTGGGGAGGGGGCTGAGACTCTGGGCCCAGATCCCACCTTCCACCCCCCCCTCCTGGCTCTGACTTCCTGCCTCTACAGCAGCTCCTCCTCTAGGAAAAGCTGCTGGTAACTGGGCCAGGGGTTACAGATTTGTGTGAGAAATCTCTAATTGCTCCTCGCTTCCACCCATAGTTTCATAGCCTGAAGTGGACCTGTTGGGACCGCCTGACCGTGCCTGCTGGGCAGCCTGAGAGAACGCTGGAATCGCTGCTGGCTCATCTCCAGGTGCGCCCTGTCTCCTCTCTGCCCCAGGCCCAGCCCGGCCTGGCCCAGTGAGTACCTGATGTGTGTCTCTGTAGGAAGAACATGAGCTGAAGGTGAAGATGCTGCTGTATGGTCAGGCCGTACTCTATTCCGCCCAATGGCCACTTGGAAAGCAGGCTCGGTGCCTGTGCCTCAGGTGAGCCAGGAATGGGCGTAGCCAGGCCCTACCATGTGCCTGGATGTTGAGGATGGGTGACAGCCACATTTTCTCAACCCCATTCTAGGCCCCTCACACCTTCTGGAAGCATTCTTCCACCAAATGGGGCCAACAAATGGGCTTGGGGGTGGGGCTAAGAGCCTGAGGAAGGGGACTTCAGTAGCTGTCTGCTTGGCCAGCCCCCCTGACTCCCCATACACTGCCCAGCCCCCCTCCTCACAGCCTACTCCCAGGGGACCCACAGCTTCCTGCCTCCTGCCTGCCCCCACCAGCTGCTCCTAAAATAGTTTCAGATGTTTCCTGCCTGGAGCCTCTCCTGCTCCGGGCTTGGGCTCCTGAGGGCTCACAGGCACCTTCTAGACCACTCAGGTTGCCCTCTGTCTTCCTCAGCTCACCAACCAAGCCTCCCCTAAACCCCCTCCCATACCAGGGTGACAGAACTGGTTCAGCAAGTGACCGGCCAGGAGCCTGAGCCTGGGCTGCGGGCACTGGTGCTGGAGCTGAGCTGTGAGGGTGAGGAGGACGAAACTGCATTTCCACCTCTGCATTATGAGCTGCGGCAAGGTAGCTACCACGCTACCACTCGGTCGTAACGAACCCGACATAAAATCCCTGCATCTTGAGCCTACAGCAGAGACTTTCACAATAAAAACTTGTTGAAGAGAGTGGAGAACTTGGGTGCTAACATGGACGGTCAGGCACATGTGTGTGAGATGGACAAGGCTGGGACCCTGGAAAGGAAGGGGAAGATTCTAGATTAGCCTGCCGTGGCTGTGTTCCACAGGGCTGGGGACGCTTCCTGAAGCCTCAGGAGTATGGAACCAACAGTCTAGAAACAGGCCTTTATTGTCCCTGGACGGAGGGCGGGCTCAGAGATGGCTGACATCACTGTAGATGATGGGTTGGCGGCTGCGACAGCTCATGAGGGCTGCAAATCGCGAGATGTCCGCAGGCAGCTCAGGTTCTGAACGGGGTGGGCATGACAGCCGCTTTCCTGCCATAGCTGCCCGGCGAGCCCTGGCCAGCCGGCGCCGTAGCTGTTCAGAGAGGCCTAGCAGGAACTGAGGGGGCCGAGCACGGGCTCGGGGTACACCACCATCACTCCCCTCGCTGGCTGCCTCAGGCAGCTCCATCCAATTGTGAACTAAGTCGGCAAAACAGTTATCCCCCAGCACCAGGGGCTGCCGACTTCGGCCCCTGTTCAACAGTGCTGCCGTCCAGTCCTCTGCTTCCAATCCCTGCCAATGTTCCAGGCAAGCATCTGGAGTGGACTTGGGCCGAGGACGGTGAGCAAGGGGTATGCCGGTTCCAGCTGCCCTGCTACGCAGGGGGAGGTCACTGACTGAGAAGCGCTGGCTATGAGGTGGCCGTTCTGAGGGTGCTTGGCGCCGGGGTACAGACAGCTCTTCCTCTCGCCATGTACTGCCTGACACCTCTGAAAAGCCAGAGTCCCAGTCTAGGGCATGTTCCCTAGGACATCCCGAGGATACACCCTTGTCTTCAGCTACCAAGGCTTCCTCTTCCTCCTCCTCTTCCACACAGCAGACAGAATCCTCTTCCAGAGCATCTGAGGCCCTGAACTGGCGGTTGGGCTGTACACTTGGATCACTTTTGGGTTTGGGTTGCAGTGGACCAGACATTGGAGGCGAGCCTGTGTCCCGACCACACAACTGAAGGAAAGAGAGAGTAGAAGTCGGAGAGGGATTGCTTATCACCCGTTAGTGTCTGACCAGGCCAGCCCTGAACAGAGGGTTCAAAAGAACTTGAAAAGCCTCTGGGCAGCAAGGCAGAACTGTAAGCATAGGGTCCACATGGGGGCACTGGCACTCGAGGCTCATGTGGCTCCCATCCGCAGAGCTGGTGGCAGTCCTGCAGGCTGCAGCACGCAGGGCCGGGCAAGTCAGCACGCGCCACCAGGGCGGGCGGGCAGGGTAAAGGAAAGAGGCATAGGCCAGCCTGTGGTAGGGGTGTCCACAGCAGCACAGCTCTTCTTTAGGCCCTTGGTGCTCCCTCCCTGCCAGTCCCCAAAAGAAACCTCTCTCCCGACTATTCTCTCCCGCCGCCGGCAGGGCCAGCTGGGCGCCTGTTACCTGATGCCCAGAACAGCTCCCAACCGTCAGAAACCCGAAGCGGGCCATCTGGGCCATCTGCACCGCGCTGCCCTGCCCCCATCCTGACTCGGATGGGTACCCGGAGCCCACTCGGTACCCGTTTGCAGTTTCAGCCAGGCGGCAGCCACGCACGCAACGCACATCCTCACAACCACACCCACTTCCAGAGCCTCACCAGTTCCCAGCGGAGCTGGCTCAGGAAGCTGTCAAGCCGCGCGCTGTGCATGTTGGTGCTGGTGCTGTAGTCCTCTCCAGGCGCCTCAGCTCCTTCCCGGTCACCCGCGAGAGCAGCGCAGAGTGGGCCGGGCCGGCCCGCCAGCGGCGTCCTCACCCTTGCCTTACTCCCAGGCTCTTCGCTCTCGGTAGCTCCCGCCGCTGCCGCCCCAACATCTGGCAGCCGCGCCCCGCCCCGCCCCCGGCGCCCTAGCCAATGGAGGCGGGGCGGGCTGAAGATGTCCTACCCCCCCCTCCGGCCCCGCCCTCCAGCCCCGCTCTGCTGAGGAGAGGGACTGTAGCGCCTCGGGAGACACGGTTGGGTCTCAAGACCCCCTGATGTCTCAAAAGGTTTAGCTGACAGACATGACCTCGTCCCACCCCCGCGCGTTCGTCCAGTGGTCTCAGCTTTCCAATTTGTTCCCTGGTGAAATAGCGGTCTCTAGTACTGGGGCCCCGATGCGACGCCCACGGTCCGGATCGTCTGATCTGACGATATTGTGACCACTCGGGGTCTGTCAAGGCTGGCCTTGACAATCCCTGAAAATGATAAGACTGAGGTTCCTCCTGGTGACTGCTCTGCGTAGAGCCTTTAAAGCAGGCAGTAAGGGAAGGGCCACGGCTAAATCCCCTTCGGCATTCCTCTAGCCTGGGCCGAGCGGAAGCAGGCTGGACCGCCCTCTAGTGGGGACTGCTGGGCTAAGGTCTACATCCCCACTCCCCAGCACCATCAGCCAATAGGTTGGGTGCAGGAATGGAAAAGAAAAACTGCTCTTTGGCCAGAATATTCAGAGCCTTTCCACTGAGACCATTCCATAAACAAAGGTAGACTCTGAGACAGCCAGGACCTACCAGCGGGCAGAAAAATATAGGACAACGAGGGCAATAAATTCAGTTGAGGGATAGGACTCGTCGATGGGGCTGTGGTGGCGCACACCTTTAATCCCAGCACTTGGGAGGCAGAGGCAAGGTGGATCTCTGTGAGTTCGAGGCCAGCCTGGTTTACAAAGTGAGTTCCAGGTCAGTCAGGACTGCTACACAGAGAAACCCTGTCTCAAAAAGCAAAACAACAACAAAGATTGGCTGACATTGATATGCAACCGGATTCAGTTCATTTAAGTCCAATGAGGAGGGGCATCTTACACGGAAGGGTCTGTCAATGTAAAGGACATCGAGGGACAGGAGCTAGGCAGACCAACTCTGGAAGACACAGACCTGTGTGATGGGGGGAAGGAGTCTGTGCATTAGGGAAAGAAGTCATCAAAACAAGCTTCCAGCACCCTCAGGGGCAACTCTAGGATTTATTTTTGATGCCATAAGAAGCATGGAACTTTTTCAGGGAATGACCAGTGCTGGTTCCTGCCAGATGCAGTTGTTTTGGGAGAAAGACTCTATAATCAGAGTGGAGACAGAGCAAGTACAGTGCCCAGGAAAATTAGCCCCAAGACCAGTCACCCCACAGAGTCTGAGTTCTAGCTGCCTCTTCACAGACATGCATGCAGGTAAAACAACATAAGTACTTTAAAATCAATAAACAAAAGTTTGAAAAAGAAAAGAAAAAGAGACTTGTTATAGATGCCTTACATTTGTTTATACTGCAGAATGTTACTTTAACTGTGTAAAGGTGTGTTCCTTTGGTTTGGTTTGGTTTTTGGAGACAGGGTGGCTTTGGAGGCTGTCCTGGAACTAGCTCTTGTAGGCCAGGTTGGTCTCGAACTCACAGAGATCCCTCTGCCTCTGCCTCCTGGGTTCTGGGATTAAAGGTGTGCGCCACCACCGCCAAGCAGTGTGTTCCATTTGTTTATGCTGCCTTTGTTAATTATGTAAAGATGTGTTACATCTGTTTCACCTTGCCTGCCTAAGGCACCTGATTGGTCTCATAAAAAGCTGAATGACCAATATCTAGGCATGAGAGGGATAGGCAGGGCTGACTGGCAGAGAGATTAAGTGAGAAGAGAAATCCAAGCTGGAAAAAGGAGAGAAGGAGGGAGAAAGATAGGTATGCCTGGGGCCAGCAGTCAGGCAACTGCCGGACAGCTGCACACAGAGTAGATGCACAGAAAGACACAAAGGTAAAAAGCCCCAAGGCAAAACACAGATAAAGAGAAACATTAATAGGAGCTAAGATAAGACCAAGCATTCATAATTAATAATAAGTCTTCATGTCATGATTTGGGAACTGGTTGGTGGCCCCAAAGAAAAAGCCTGATACAACTAGTCTCCAAAACTAAATAAATCTTCAAAAAAACGTTTGAAAGACTAGAAAAAAGGAAATGATCGTTGCGGACATGTGAGCCTTGAGGAGATACAGGCTCAGCTGCTAGGGATATGGTTGTGGAGTCCACGAGAGATAAGCACTGGAGGGTTGGACTGGGAGGGAAAACCAGGTCATGGCCTTGCCGGAGTTGGAGGTGATGAGTGTGAAGGAGGGGAGCAGCGAGCAGCTTTCACTCCTTAGAGCACTCCCTGAACTGGGGAAGGAAAGGAGCAGAAGTTGCAAAGAAGCCAGACAAGAGTAGAGAAGTTAGATCGGGCATGGAGGGAGCTGGGACTGACCTGGGAAGTGAGATAAATAATAATAAAAAAGGGTTTCAAAAAAACAGAGTGGAGAAGTGAGATGAATCAGAAAGAGCGTGGGTATTTTAGAGCCAAGGGAGCCAGCACCAAGCACTTTGGAGGAGTGAGGGCAAACGATTGAAGTCTGGGCTTGGGAGACAGCTCAGTCAGTGAAGTGTTTGCCACAGGCAGCTGAAGCCCTGAGGCTACTCAGAACCCATAGGAAAAAGCCAAGTGTGGCCCCAAGGGTTTGTCACCCAGTTTGAGCAGCAGACAGCCTAGTCTAGTTGATGACCTCCAGGCCAAAGAGAGACCCCGTATCAAGCAACGGAACAAAGCAAGATGAACAGCTCCTGAGCAACAACACCTGAGACTGACCCCTGACCTCCTTGAATGTTCGAATCCAAACAACTCACCTCCACTTACACACGAAAGAATAAACTTCTGGCTTGAGAGTGTGCATGTGCCTGTAGTCTCGGCTACTTGGGAGGTAGAGGCAGGAGAAGCCTGGGCAATATAATGAAACCCTGTCTCAAAATAAGGCTGGTGAGATGACTTACTGGATAAAAAAGCCTAAGACCTGATTCCAATCCCAGGATCCCACAGTAAGAGAGAGCTGACCCTGAAAGTTGTCCTCCTGGCCACATACGCATACCACACACACTCACACCACATATCACACAACACACATCACACACAAATAGTAATTAAAATTAACAGAATAACAAGACTGGAGAGATAGCTCAGTCCTTAAGAACAATTGCTGCTCTTTTAGAGGACCTGGGTTTGAATTCCAGAAACCATATAGAGCTTCAAAACTATCTGTAACTACGATTCCAGGGTTTCTGACGTCCTCCTCTGGCCTCTGTTGATCCAGGACATGCATATATGATACACATAATATATGCAGGCAAAACACTCACATAAAAAATTAATTAGATGTTAATAAATTAAGTTGGCAAAAGAAAAGTGCTGGTGATTAAGGTCCCTGCCAAGGGCAGTTTTGTGGGGAGAGGGATGAGCCTAACTCCTGTAGATAGAAGAAAGAGTGAGGGGGGCTAGAGAGAGCAAGTGAAGAGAAGTTCAAAAACGGTAAATTATGATGGTATAGACCTGTAATTCTGGCTGACAGGTAGACAGGAGGGAGGATAATGAATTTGAGGACGCTCTGGACTACATAGAGAGACCTTGTCTCAAAAAGATTTTTTAAATAAAAAATATAATAAACTGACAAATTTCAAAGATGCTGACTCAGTAAATCTTAGTCTGCATAGGTTTATCTTAGTCTGCATAGGTTTGTGCAGGTGCCGCAATACATAGCACATCTTTAGTCCCTTTCAGAAGCTATCCTTTGTCCCCTCCAGTTGATATTCCCCCAAGTAACATTATCTACCCACCCTGCCCCTTAAGACAGGGTTTCTCTGTGTAGCCATGGATGTTCTGGAACTCACTCTGTAGACCAGGCTGGCCTTGAACTCACAGAGATCCGCCTGCCTCTGCCCTCTTAGTGCTGGGGTTTTAAGGGCCTGTACCATCATGTCTTAAGGCTACTTTTTTTTTTTTAAAGACAGGGTTTCTCTGTGTAGCTTTGTAGGCCAGGCTGGCCTCAAACTCAGAGAGAGATCCCAGAGGTTCAGCTGCCTCTGCCCCCGAGTGCTGGGACTAAAGGCGTGCTCCACCACCTCCCAGCCCCTGGGGTTACTTTTATTTCATCTACAAAGGATTCTATTTGTTGAATGTAGACAACTATAGAGAGATTTTCTTGGTGACTGGGCTTAAATTTATTATGATGGGAAGAGGCAGCTAGAATGCAGACTCTGTGGGGTGACTGGTCTTGGGGCTAATTTTCCTGGGCACTGTACTTGCTCTGTCTCCAAGGACAATGTGACCAGTTTCACCATCGGTAGCTTGAGCCTCCTCCCCTTATATCCCCTCAGGGTAGGGGTAATGAATGGAAGAATTCACTGGAAACCGCTGAAGATGGGGTTTTCCCTGCCCCTCCAGGAGCCTGCCAGGGGTCCAAAGCTCTGTCTGCGGGTGGGAGGAGCTGGAGTCTGGGAAGCCCGCCTGACAGTTAACCTATGTTTAAGCAACTAGCCTGGCAACAGAGTTAGCCTGACAAACAGCTCCCTCTGCCATCTCCTCAGGCAACCATGGCGCTGCTCAGGCTCCTGTCGATTTTTGCTTTACTTATCTCTGGTAAGGAACAGGTGGGTGGGGGCACTCCAGTTTTCCAGTGAATTTCTGACCTTTCGCTAAGCTAATGTGGAGGCAGAGGCCGAGGGACCTCTGGCCCCTATTCCTTATCTTGGCTGTTTCTTCAACTGTGTTCTCTCTGCCTTTAAAATGTTACTGTGGGAGGCAGGAAGGACTTCGGCTGTTTGGCCTCCAGATGTGGTCAGAAAAAGGTATCGTTATATTTCTAAATATGTCTTTCTTCTAGTCCTCCACAGCCTGCCTTGGTCCATAGATATCTCTGAGAGCCAAGGCCCTGGCACCATCCTTCAGCCTTTCTCCTTCAACTGCTCCTCCTACATGCCCACCCTGGAGTTACTCAGTGTGAGACCGCCTACCAGCTTCTTCAACAACCCCAGCCTGCACAGGCATGATAAGGGAATCTATCTGGGAAAGGTAAGGTCATGGGTACAACTAGGGATTGTGGGGACCCAAGCCAGAAGTAGTGTACAAAGACAGGCAGGCTGGACCCTGCATGCTGTTGCCACCCCACCACAGGTGACCTTGAGCAGCTCTGCTAGGCTGGATGCCCTTGCAGTAAACCGCTATGAGCTTCAGCTGCAGTACAAGTGTGGCAACTTTGTGCTAGCGGGACCACTCTTTGTGCACGTGCAGCGGGACCCCGGGCGTATCCGGTGTGCTGGTCCATTTGCCAGCCCAGGTGAGACTGGGGGTGGCAGGTTGGGAGAGGAAAGGCGTGGCCTGAACAGAGCCTCCCTGGCTTCTTCTCTGAACAGCTGGGGAATTCGTTTATGTGCCAGAGACAGTCACACCTGGGGCCCTACTGTACGCTCTGTTGCTGCCAGGTCTAGGAGTCCAGAGAGCCCAGGTAAGCTCAGAACACAGGGCAGTGAGTGACAGGGTGTGGGAGGAGGTCACAGGGAGAGAAATCACAGTTCCTGCCAGGTCAGGCATAGCCTCCAAAGACCCCGAGGTAGACAGTTGCACCTCTGCATGATGCACGTTCTTGGAGAGGGCCAGTAAGAGCTGCCTACCCTCCCATCGACGAGGGCAGTTTCCCACAGGGACCCAAGTCTTCTGAGTTCTATGTGTTCTGAGTTCATGACCATTTTTTTATCACTTTGGTAACTCTAGAAAGAACTGTGGACTTTCCCCATTTTTTATTGTGAGTGTATGCACACGGATATACATGAGCATACACATGTTGTAGCATGTTTGTGGGGGCTTAGAGGACAACTTCTGGATGTTGGTTCTCCTCTTTCACTATGTGGGTTCCCAGGGCCAAACTCGGGCTGTCCAGGCTTGGCAGCAAGGCCTGAGCCAACTCTGTTGTGAAATATTTTAACTGGATAAAGATGTGGTACATTTGTGTATGCTTCAGAATATTACTTTAACTGTGTAAAGGTGACTTTTGTGTATGCTGTATTTGTTTAAAGCTGTAAGGATGTGTGTTTAATTATGTAAAGATGTGTTGCATCTGTTTCATCTTGCCTGCCTAAGGCACCTGAAGTGCTTTATTTAATAAAGAGCTGAATGGCCAATAGCTGAGCAGGAAAAAGGACAGGTGGGGCTGTCAGGGAAAGAGACTAAATGGCTAGGCTTGAGAGAGAAGGGAAGAACGAGAGACGTAGGAGGAGAGAATGAGAAACACTCCCGGGGCAAGAAACCAGCACACACCAGTCAGTCAGACTTAGAGAAGCCATGAAAGTAAGTCACAGAGAAGAAAGGTAAACCCCAGGGCAAAAGGTAGATAAAGAGAAACAGGACAATTTAAGCTAAAAGAGCTAGCCAGAAATGTGCCTAAGCTAGGCTAAGCATTAAAAACTATTAAGTCTCTGTGTTATGATTTGGGAGCTCGTTGGTGGCCCAGAAGAAGAGGCCTGGCACACAGCTCACAAGGGTGTTGTTGTTGTTCGTTTCTGAGACAGCCAAGGTTACACAGAGAGATCCTGTCTAAAAGGATTTTTTAAAAAATCCTGAAGGGTAGTTGTTTTAGCAGAGAGTACGGAGGATCAGAGCCAGGGATAGCAATGGAAGACACTGGGGTGACCCGTGGCAGGGTTCAGGACCATCAGATATAAGCAGCAGCCTGCTGGCTTATTGGGGGATATTGACAGGGAGTACTTGGGGCACTGGGGACTGGAGAGGACCACTAATATCTCTATTCTATTAGATGAACATAACCAGTGCCCAAGACCCTCCATTCTTCCCCGGGCCTTTCTCCATTGATGATCAGGGATTTCTGCGAGCACCATCCCAGGGTCTCAAAGGCCAGGCTCCAAAGGTAAGCATGGATTTGGACCCGGGGATAGCTATGGATTAGATAGGACCATCATATTCTGAAAAATTATTTGTTCTTGGCTACCTTGACAAACGTGTTGTCTCAGCCCCTTGCTGCCCTCATGCTGACTGTCCCCTCTGTTTGGCTTTGTTCTATGCTGAGATCTGGAAGTCCAGAGAGAAGACAGGCCTGTGGTTCTGGGATCTCACAGGTCCTCTAACATGTAGTGCAGCATTTATGGCAATCAAACTTAGAGAGAAAACTTCGAGCCATTGAGAAGGAAGCTCCCTCTTTAAAACTGGCATTTCTGCAGTTCTCTGGGGTCCATCCTCAGCACCACAAAAGGAAACACACTTCCACCTCTTAGTAACTGGCTCTTAGCAGCTTTAACCTAATTCACACTTTGACTCAAAAGAATTAGTGGCCCGGAAGTATAGGGCTCAAAGGGGCACTTGTCAGCAGCATAAGTCATAGGGTTCTTTGTGGAGGTCTTGAGGACTAGGAATGGAAATAGCAGTGGACACATAACATGGTTTCCTTCCTGACATATATGCATTTGACAGACCTTCCAGCTGCAGATTTTAGTGTCCTTAGGAAAAGGCCAAAGCTGCAAAGGGATGCTGACAGTGAAGGTTTTGCCTGCGCCCTCCAGCCAAGTCTCCTTCCCGTAAGGCTCCCTACCCTGGGAACAGTGGAGGAGTCTGCATCTATCCCCAGGGGAACAGCTGCAGTAGGCTGCAGGGCGAAGGAGTGTTCAAACTCCTGTAGAAAGAGAGCCCTGGGGGAGGCTCCTGGAGACCCTGCTGGAGTGAGCAGGAGCAGGCAGGAGCTAGGTTCTCGCTTTCGGTTCAGACAGAAGGCCCAGAGTATCACCATCTCAGAGGATCTGGTCCCTGGGAGCAAGGTGATTCAGGTCGAGGCTAGGGGATTCAACTTATGCTATGAAATCTTCTCCCCACGACCCAGCCCATTCTACTCCATTGGACAAGGTGAGGGAAGGAGGCAGGTGGGTACTGGGGATGTCTGTGGTTGGGAAAGGGTGGGGCACAGAGGTAACTTCTATCAGAAAGCTTGGGGTTGAGAGCCCTGACCTTAGAGGAAGAGGTGGCAATGATCAAAACCTTCTATCTGCCCGCCCTGGGGCAGTTGGTGGAGACCGGGACTGACTGGGGCGGGGAGGAGCTTTGTTTCTTTCACCTTCCAGCGGACGGGGTAGTGCGGACCACCGTGCCCCTGGATTTGGCTCGCGCTCAGGGCGCCGGGGTCACGAAGCTGCAGGTGAGGGCCTTTGAGAAGCTCCGGCCTTGGGTCAGTGCGGAGTTCGATCTCACGGTTAACGTGCGGGCGGTCAACCAGTGGCCCCCACGCTGCCATCCTGCGCTACTGGTGTAAGTTCCCGGAACCCATGCCAGGGCTGGTTGGGGTGAGATTTCCTGGCTCACCATTGGTCTAGACTCCTGTCTTACCTCCTGCCCTCCACTCCCAGGACTCAAATCCCAGAGACTGTTCCTGTGGGCACTGTGTTGAACACGCTCACTTGTGTTGACCCGGACTCTACCAGCGCCCCCCTCAGCTACCAGCTGCAGTTCCACAATCCTCCGGACTCCGCCAGCCTCCGTCTTCGTGACAGAGTCCTTGAGGTGCCCAACACCCACTCCTAGATTCCCATGCAGACAAGGTGGGTGGACCAGGGTTGGTTGGCCCTGAGACCCTGGAGGTGGGATGGAGTTTGGTTGTGAAGACAGCCCGAGTCTGGAAAACAAGGCCAAGGTAGGCTACACACGGATACCCTAGTTTTGAGGTACTGTGACTCAAGTTCTTTCAGATCCTGGGTTCATCTTACTCTCTGGTCTCCTTGGCCAGGTGAATACTACACTGGACTGTGACACTCCTGGGGCTTGCTTCCAGCATGCAGCTTCCATCTTGGTGTTTGATAATGGTCAGCCCCAGATGACCAGTGAGTGACCATACTTAGGCTTGAACATTCAGGACAGGGCTATTTTTGCTCACCCCTTTCGATGCCCCAGACATAGACAGCTATCTTCCTTCAAAAACTAGGTCAGGACTCTCAGTTGAAGATCCCTAGGGTGTTTCTTTTAAGACCTCCCCCCACTCCCCAGAAAACCCTCCCTGCAATATAGGGCCATGTTTACTTATTAAGAACCCTAGCCCAGGACAGCCTCCAAAGCCACAGAGAAACCCTGTCTCGAAAAACCAAAAAAAAAAAAAAAAAAAGAACCCTAGGGCAGGTCTTGGTACCTCAGGCCAGCTCCTTAACTGCCAAATGGTCCCCAGCTGAGGTTCTGGTACTGGTGATGGTAACACCCGTCAATGAGTTCTCCCCAGCCTGTGTCCCACGAACGTTCCGAGTTCGGGAGGATGCAGGGCCCCACACTCTGCTGGGCTCCATAGTGGGCACGGATATGGATTACCCTCCTAACAGCCTCGAGTACTACATCTCTGGTGCCCCCCCCACCTTCGCTGTGGATCGGCTCAGTGGTACTTAACTCCCAGGGCTGGGAGGGAAGGGAGGGGCCAGAGCTGGCTCTGCAGGCTAAGGCTGTGACCATCTCTTGTAGGCGAGCTTCACCTCCTGGGACCTTTGGACTATGAGCAACAGAGGTTGTACAGGATCACTATTCTGCTGATTGATCACAGCCAAGACTGGGACCTCAACCTCCGTCGCTCAGGTTCATGTACTATAACCATTGAGGTTGAGGTAATTGACTTCCAGACCTGGAAAAAAAGACAAACTTCCCTCTGGACTTTTGCCTGCTTTTCCATGCAGCGCTCTCTCTCTCTCTCTCTCTCTCTCTCTCTCTCTCTCTCTCTCTCTCTCTCTCTCTCTCTCTCTCTCTCCCTTTTTCCTCCCTCCTTCCTCCCTTTTCTGTCTTTTTTTGGTTTTTCGAGACAGGGGTTCTCTGCATAGTCCTGGAACTAGCTTTGTAGACCAGGCTGGTCTCAAACTCAGAGATTCACCTGCTTCTGCTTCCCTGAGTGCTGGGATTAAAGGCGTGTGCCATCACTGCCAGGGATATCCTCATTCGGGGAGGGGCTCACTATGGAAAACATTACCACCTGTTGCTTGCCACTTAGGTTCAGTGGTTTCAAAGGAGGCTGAGGGGCTAGCCTGGGAGTTTGAGGAATTGACTGTAGTCATTTCTAATGTGGTGGCCTTTCTCCAGGATGTGAATGACCATGCCCCCGAGTGTGAGCCTCCATTTCAGGAACTCACCATCTACACTCCCCTGGGTCGTAGCATGGAGGTGACTAAGGTGTCATGCTGGATCCCTCAGGAGCCACAGCGCTCGGCGCTCTCCTACAGCATCGTGGGAGGTGTGACTATGTGGGGGCCACCAGGCTGTTGGTGAGGGTCAGGCTAATGCAGTGTAACACCTTCTTCTCCTACACTCTGCTTTCAGGGAATAGCCAGAGCCGATTTAGACTGCAAGGGAGTGTCCTGATGCACAATGACACTGCATTGGGGCCTCCGTGGCCAGAGCAGCCCTGCACCTATGAGCTATTGATTCATGTTGCTGATGTGGGTCCTTCCATCCCCCACCTCAGCACCACAGCAACCATCATTGTGCATCTAGTTCCTTGGAGGGCCAGCACTGTGGCCACCAGCACCCACAGAAGCACAGTGAGGGGGTTCTCAGGCCCTTGGGGGGTTGGGAGAGAGGATCTTGAAGGGTGAAGACATCTGACCTTTTTAGATGGAACTGTGACAGAAAACATTTTGGAGAAAACTGCTGGGTGAAAAAATAAATCTGGGGTGTGAGGTGCCCCACTTCCTAGAGAATTTGAAAGCTAGACTGTCAATGGCAGTGGTGAGTCTGTGACCCTCCTTTCAGGTGTCCTCAACAATGACACCCCTGATTGTGACAGATGTAGAGGCTTTCTGGAAGCCAGAGCCTTGGTTTGTGGTAGTGCTGACAGCGACTGGTGCAGTTTTCCTCCTGGTTCTGGGCTGGCTCCTCAGCAGGATTCTACGGGGGTATGTTTTTATCTCTGCTTTCTGCTTCTCAGCCTATATATAGACACTGTCTGGAATAGGTAGTTTTACTCGATATTTGATAACACTGCAACACTGATGGACAAACAGATTGAGGAGGGCTACTTCTGTCTCTCCAGAAGTATTCAGAATGAGACACTGGAAGTGGTCTCCATCATTGGAGGAGTCCAGTTTTGGAGCTGGATGGACATAGATGGCTCAGAGCTAGAAACATACCAGTTCCCAACATCTGTTTTCTTCTTGATATCTGCCCTGCTTCTGTAAATTGAATCCTCCAAGTCTAGGGGTAGGACAGAGAACAGTGTGGACATCTCACACAGGCACTGGCTGTCCCTAATATAAAATGACACGATGACACTACTCCTTAGTATTAACAGGCCTGCTGCGTTCACTCCTTCCTCTGGCATTTTAGGTTTGCCCAGTCACTACAGGCACCAAACAAACCAGCCAGAGCTCTATTGCTAAACAGGTCAGTCTCCTTTGCTTACCTCTACATCTTGGGAGCCCATCTCCTAAACTTAGGCTGGGGCCCAGACTCTTATCTTGTACTTGTACTCTGATTTGCTATAGCATCCAGGGAAATGCAGGATCCATTGAGAGGCTCAAGGAGGCACCAAGAAAGGAGATGTCCCAGGTACCCAGAATTTCCATGAGTCTGGAATGCCAGCTCATATCCCAAGTTGAGGGCACCGAGGCGGCTCTAGGGGTACTCCCTATCCCTGTAAAGCCTGACTTCCTGCCCGTGAATGGCTATCCCTGTGAGAGTGCCCACACCACCACCAAGACAGCAGAGGGAGGTGGGCACCAAACCCTTCCAGCTGCTCCCTGTGGGCAAGGTTCAACTCACTGTGCCTTTTTATTCTTTCCAGCACCATTTTGATGGCAGAGCCCACGATGTCTGTAAGTCTCTTTTTATAACTATTCCCTGCTTGGGCCCTCACCCTTTCCCAGGACTTTCTCTTCCCTTTCCCCATCTCTTTTTTACTGCCACCACTACATCCATCATCTACATTTTCACAAACTGAGCTCTTTTCTTGTCTTACCCCCCCCCATCACTCCCTCACCTTCCGCCAACTTTTGTCAAGAACCAGATGACCACTCAGACCTGGTCTCGCCCCAGCTGACCGTGGGAGGGAGATGTGGTGAGGGGGAAAGCTCTCTGGATCTCCCAGCTTCTCTAGTACAATTGTAGCAGAGTAATCTGCCACTAGCTGCTGTGGGGTAGCTGGTATCCATTGGCTTCCTGGTCATTTGAGTGGGACCTCAGGGTTCTTTGCTGAGAAGGGAAGGGGGAGAGAAGTTGGCTCCCTGGGGAAGGGGTGATGATACCACTTAAGTCAGTAGTCCCTTCTCCCCGTCTCTCTCCTGTACATCTGGGCTCAGGCACAGGGAGAGATTACCTGTTCAACACGCGCACCGGAGCCCGGCATTGGCTCTGAGGCCAAGCAGCTGCCTCACTATGTGTGGAATCCCCTTTTCACATGATCATAGCCTCAGTAATAAAGAGTACAGACAGAACACTACCCACCTTTTGTAATCTTTATATGGGAGAAGCTCTGAGATCTCTTTCCGTTTTCTTACCTGGAGAAAGTGCCACCTCCTTGCGGAGAAGCATTATCTAATGCTCTGACTGCAAACTGACAACTTTGCAGAAGAGGCTCTTTGTTAGTAACTGATGGGCTACCGGGGGCTTTACCTGAGTACTTGGCTTATTTTAAGAGCTCATAGAGTTTTCCTCTTGTTCACCCTCATTTTATAGACAGGGCAACCAAGTCTCAGAAGCTAACACTCGAAGTTCTAGAATTAACTAGTCAGGACATGTGGGTGTGCGACCAGATGCTGTCTTGTGGTGCCCTTGGCATCTTAACCTTGAAGTCAAGTCCTGGGTTAGGCTTACTATGGAGAACAAGGGATGGGCATCTTCATGGGACTCAATAGTTTGCCTTGGAGACAGACAGATCATAATAGCCAAGGGCAAAAGATACTGTCATGGGAACTTCACGGATGCTCTGGGGCAAAGAGGAGTAACCACTGTGTGCTGAGACCTTGTGCCTGATGCAGATTTAACTCTTATGCAAAATAAACCAGGGGAAGGGGAAGCCAGAAACTGAGAAGGTAGCACAGAAGGCTGTGGCTGGGGGACGCTTAGGAAACACTGGTTAACTCTGTAGCGAGGGGAGGTGAGGGTGCCCATCATCACCACTTCCTAAGGCTGTGTGACCTTGGCTCAACCTCTCTTATGCGCCTCAGTTTCCTCGCCAGTGAACTAGGGCAGGCGGCAAAGCAAATACCATACCATGGACATTCCCTAAGCGTGTGCGAGAAGTATGATAAACGCTGCCAGCTCAAAGCCGAAAGGGTTGCGCAGGTGAGAAAAGCAAGAGCGCTCTAGCCTAGCCCGTTGCTAGCAAAAGCGCCACCGCCAGCAAATCTGAGGATGGCGCGCATGCGTCAACTCATGCTGTCACAGTCACGTGCCCCAGGCATTCTGCACGAGAGGCACACTCTGATAGACGGGGACAGTTGACGAATCGGCGGGGAGAACTCCTGCAGGCATCGGGAGGAGAGGCTGTTGATTGGAGAGGACCTCAGTCAGGGGCGGGTTCTTTGCTGTCCTTGGTTACTATGACGCCCGGCCCCCGCCCCCTCGGCTGGCCGCCATCTTGTTGTTGATCCGTACCCAGTGGGCAGCGCTAGGAGCTGGACCGAGCGGCCGGTGCGGGGCCGCTGCTGCGGGGCTCAGCCACCTGCGCTGCCTGCCAGGGGGCGGGCCGAAACCTGGAGGCCCGGGGGGCCCAGCTCCCGTGGGGAGCTTTGGGCGCCCGCTGCCCGGGTCCGGCCGGTGAGTGACAGGAGTCGGGCCAAAAGACCCGCCCGACACCCACGGCTAGGGTGGCGGCGGGCGCGGGGTTGTAGCTGGCGCGCGTAGGGCAGGGTCGGGACTTAGGCCGAGCATCATTGGAACATCATCCCAGCGTCCTGGTTGGCCTTGCGCGGAGCCTCCCAGATGCTGGCACCGAGGCTGGGAGGGCAGCCCGGGTGGAGGTCGGAGAGCCCTGTGCCCAAGGACCGGCCCGGAATAGCGGGAAACCTGTCTTTATGACTAAATCCCTGGGTGCCTCTGACCCGGAGTGCTGAGATGTGGTCACTGCTTGCCTGTTCTCCCGGCGGAAATGTTCCTCTAAACCAGTGATAAATGTATGTCGCTCTTAGATATCACACCCTTGCGAGTAATTTTTTTCAGGCCGTTTGAGATTAAGATTAGAAGAAACAGGCCTAAAATGCCTTAGGAGCCGAGCAGGTTGGTATCAGGGCTCTGTGGTTTTGGTGCGGCCTGTCTCTTTGCATGGAGACCCCTTGGAACATTCTGTGCTCTTCCGGACTGTATACTGCTTCTTGAAGAACCTGGTTAAATGTCTGTAATGGCTGAGTTTTATTTGGGGGTATAAATTCTTTGGTGCTTGACCACCACTCTTTTTGGAGAGAGAGTTTTAGGAGGATAAGGATGGTGGTGGCTTGGTTAATTTTTTTTTTTTGTCTCCTAAAGAGACAGTACGTTAGGACTACTAAAAATGTTTTTATTGTGGACGGTCTTGAACTGTCCCATTAACTTTTTAACAGAACTGAAACCGGGTATGAGCTCATGCACTCGACTGAGGCAGGAGGATTATCCACGTTGCAGGCTAGCCGGAGCTGCATAGCAAGACCCTGTCTCAAAACAAAAGCAGTGCTAAATGTTGTTGATGCTGGGTGAAAACAGCCTGCTGGGCCTGTTTCTTAGGATGGAGGTGGAGCTGCCTGCTCTGACACACATTTTTACCCATGGTCCTTTAGCTTCCCACACAGGTGTCTTGTATGTTGTCGTCATATGAAACCTACAAGAGATGATGAAGGAGGTCAGGCAGGCAGTACCCTTCATTTCTGTCACCTCTGAATGTTTAATTTTGAAAGAAAGCATCACCCCGGTCTGGAGGTGTCTTTGGAAAGCCAGGGCACAGGCGGCAGGGGCTTGCTGTTTGCTGCTAATCTGCTTGTGAGAGAGAAGTTGAGTAGTATTGTTACTTATTTCATTGCCCTTCCACGGGGCCATTTTTTGAATGATTGATAGCCTTTTAAATAAAGTTTCTTAGGTAGCTACTAAAGGAAATGCTAAAATGTTAGCTTCTTAGTGTGTTATCCCGGGACCCCCCCCCCCAGCTCCCATTGCTTTTATTTATTTTTGGAAGTTAAATCAATCAGTCACAGGGTTAATTTTTTGATGTTTGTGCTAAAAGCACTAACCCTTAAGTTAGACTCTTATCTCATTTTGGGTATTGGATCTCTTAGTGATATAGAAGGAGACAATTAATCAAGCTGTCAGCATTGTCTTCTGCATACAGTCTCAGGGAGTTCCAAGGCCCATTAAACTCTCCTTGGTCCATATTAGAACTGCTGTTCCAGCCGGGCGTTGGTGGCGCACGCCTTTAATCCCAGCACTCGGGAGGCAGAGGCAGGCGGATCTCTGTGAGTTCGAGACCAGCCTGGTCTACCGAGTGAGTTCCAGGACAGCCTCCAAAAGCCACAGAGAAACCCTGTCTCGAAAAACCAAAAAAAAAAAAAAAAAGAACTGCTGTTCCAAGGAAATCAAAATACATACAGACTTTCAATATCTTTGTTTAATATTTGTTTTATGCTTTGTTTACTAGCTCATGAATAGGGTATGATGCTTGATTCAACAGTTACCCAAAGACAATAGCAATATTTCTGTGCTGGGTATTTTAAATGCTGCATCATAAAGACCATTTTTGTGGTAGTTCGTCCTCTGTCGTCTTTGTCTTTGCAATAATTCATTTTGTAAACTTCAACACTTTAGGTTTTTTTTGGTTTATTGGTTTGGTTTGGTTTGGTTTTCCGAGACAGAGTTTCTCTGTTTAACAGTCCTGCCTGTCCTGGAGCTCCCTTGGTGCAGACCAAGCTGGCCTCAGACTCATTGAGATCGGAATGTCTCTGCCTCCCAAGTGCTTGGATTAAAGGTGTGTATCACCACTGCCAGGCTACTTTAGGTTTATTTATTTTAGTTTTTTGAGACAGGGTTTCTCTGTGTAGCCCTGACTGTTCTGGAACTCACTCTGTGGAACAGGCTGGCCTCTGCCTCCTGAGTACTGGGATTAAAGGCATGTACCATCACTGCCTGGCTCACTTCAGGTTTTTTGAGATCATGTTCTTTGTGTATGTCAGGCTGTTATGGAAACTCAAAAGTCACCTGTTTCCTCAGAGTGCAGGGACTTCAAGTGTACATACAACTGGCTTAACACTTTCTTTTCTTTTTCTTGAGATGATCTTAACATAGCCCTGGCTGTCCTATCACTCACTATGTAGACCAGGATGACTTCAGAATCACAGAGCTCCACCTTCCTCTGGCATGGGCTGGTTTAGCACTTTTAAACTATTAGGAACAGTTAGGTATCACAGATGGTGGTTATTCTACACGGGAGGCAGAGGAAGGTAGATCTCTGAGTTTGAGGCCACCCTGGTTTACAAGTCTAAGACAACCAGGGAGGGCTACACAGAGAAAGCCTGGGTTGGGGGGCTCGAGGACAGGCAAGATTATAGAATGAGATCTGAGGTCCTAATGAGGCATCCAAAGTGTTGCTGCCCAGCCCACCTTGTTAGGTTTTATCTTTATCATCCGCTAACTAAGAGCTTTTGCTCAGTGCTCCATATGTATTTCACTCCCCAGTCCTCTTGCTTGCTGAATCCCGTGACCTTCGCCCCTGTTTAGGATTCTCTTACTTTTCTTCATCGTTTATCTCCAGAGTCCAGTTCAAGTCTTCCCTGGCTTTATAAGACATCTCAAGCATTTGATTCCTGGAGCATATTCCACTCCCTTTGAACTGCAAAAGCATTAAACAAGTAAACCCTGAGCAGCAGAATAGGATTTGCTCTGCTTTTTGCGCTGTGCTTGTGTGCAGATACGTGTTACGGAGTTTGTAGACATCAGAGGACAACTTCCTCTCCCTTTACCATGGGTTTCATGTTAGTGTGACAGTACCCTTATCCCCTGAGCATTTTGCCAACCCTGTTTCACTTTTTGAGACAAACTATTACTGTGTAGCCTAGGGAGGCCACCAACTTGTTTTGTAATCCAGGTTGATAATCCAACTCTTAATCTTATTCTCAATGTGGCTGTAGAATGAATGGCTGATCCTGACTACTGAAGACCCTATGTTTTATATCCCTCTAGTGCTGGGATTAAAGACATGTGATCACAGGTGCCAAGATCATCTTTGTGTGAGCTGTTTCTCTTTAGGACTGGGTCAGTCTTGTGTAGATCTGGGCGGCCTTGGACTCACAGAGATTGTCTGTCTCTTAATCCTGAGTCCTAGAATTAAATATGTATGCCACCACCTCCTAGCTCTGGCTGCTGGAATTGAAGGTGTGTGCATGGTTTCTATGACTTGTGGCTGACTTTGCTTTCTGAATCCTCAGACAAACTTTAGTAAATCATAAATAATATATCAACCATAAAGACAACATAACAGAA